GGCTCTGGTCGCCCCTTTCCAGTTGCGCCTAAACTGCCTGACTGGTTTTCCACTGGGGGCAAACCAGCGCTGCTCGCCGCGGTGAGTTATTACCGGGGGACCAAGGAGATTTCCTTCACGATGTGAACTTTGCTTTTAAGAGGGGCGCTGCTTTTGTCAGGGCAGTCAGCAATAAGTTTTCACACTTTTGGACCCCCCCCAGTGACGTTGCTCCCTTCGCTCCCAGGAGATTGAGGACTCCTCGCGTCCCTCGAAGCTCCGCTGCTTGGTTTAGATGTGACACCTCCGTTTGGGCAGTGGGTGTTGACTGCTGCTGGGGGGTTTTTACTTTGTGAAAATAACACTGGAGGGGAAACGTGCCACCAACTTGAGCTCAAAGCCTTCCCGTTTGATAGATTTAGCACCCTCTAGCTCCCCACCCCCCAAATTAAGCTCTCTAAAGCATTGGTGGTGAACTCACAAGGTCCAGGTCAGCTTCACGTGCTTAAAACGCTCCACATCGATGCTTCTAAGTGGAGAACGGAATCCTGCCAGGCTCAGGTTGGTCCCCGTGGTTTTGTGTGACGAGTGGGCGCTTGATCTGTAACGGCGGGAGGTTTCGGTCCTCAACACTTGCTGCTCTCGCCGGCCTCCGGTGGGATGGCCAAGCTGCCTTTGCTCCGTGGTGTGAACGTTCCCCGGCGGGGAACGCTTCTTCCAGACATCCATCTTGAAATAACTGCCCAAGCTTCTCAGCCCTTTTCTTCTTGGCCTCTTCAGCCGAGCTGGGAGGCCCTCAGCCGTGGTACCCAAAAGCTGACAGTGGGCAGCTGGGTTCCTGGAGGACTTGCAGGGGAGCTTTTCCAGATGGTTGTGGCGATGGCTCCGCAAAGAGCCATGCGGGTAGTGGGGCTTGCGGCGCCTCTCCCCGCCAGGGCTCCCAAGGAGCTGTTCATCCATAACGTTCACTGCGCCGCGCGTTGCTCAGACATCGCTGCCCTCCAAAGGGAGACGCTCGGGGTCTGTGGTAGGAAGGGTGCGAAGGGAATATATACGGCACGCAGAGCTTTACGTACTCGCAGCCTCCTTCAAGCCTCCCCCTTGCCGGGGCCGAGCGTGAACTGTTCCCGAGGAGCCTTGGGATGTTGCGTCTGCAGGGTAGAACCTTCACAGATTTCCATTCTCCTTTCATCTTTGGGGGGTTCTGTTTCAGAACGGGACGGGCTTGTAGGCTTGAGGGGAAGGAAAATGCCCCTTTGCTGTTCCTTCCACCTGCTGCGCCGGGCTGGGCTGCGGTGTTGCGTCCCGTTGGTGTTTGCTAAGAGGGGGATGCGGGAGGAAGGCATCTGGTTCGCTTGGTGATTGCCAAGGTGCCGCCTGGCTTGGCAGCAGCCCCCCCGACAAGCGGCTCGGTTCCGAGTCCCCATGGAAGAGCACTGTGAAAACCACTCGGGCTACGGGCTACGGGCTATGGGCTACGGGCTGGCCCGCCTGCTCAGGAGCTGCTGCCAAAGCCCGGGGTCTTCTACTGGCGGAGCTGAGGTCGGGGCAGGGGAAATGGGCGTTTGTGCAGTCGTGTGGGGCATCTTGGGCTACGACCAGCAGCTTTCTGGCTTTGGGTAGCCATGAGCTGCTTGCCTGGAGGCCAGGAGGTCATTAAGTGATGGTCATTCTCGTTTGCTGTCGTGCCCTGGCTGTTTTCGCACGGGTGCAAACCTTCCCCCTCCCATTCATTCCGGTGCAGAACCCGGGTGAGTGCTTTATGCTTCCCGCGCGCCATCGCCCGCTTCACTCTGGGCTGGCGCTGGGTTTGGTTCTGGGGGTTTTTTTTTAAATAAATAGACTTCAGCTTTGGCTTAAAAGGGCAGGGCCTGGCATTTCACTCCCGCGTGTGCAGCCTTGTCCCCTTCCCGGGGGATCCGCAGTCTGTTCTTCTGGCTCTCCCCTAGGAAAGGCTTCCTCCTGGAGAGCTGCGGCGGAGGTTTGCCTCTAGCATGGTATTTTTTTTTTTAATTCCTCGTCTGCTGGAACCTAATTAACGCGTCTCTAAGACGGCGACGACAGCACTCGCGGATCCTTTGGAGCACCCATACAAGCGGGATTTTGCCGCTTTCAGCCTGATCTCTGGGAAGTTACGCCGTACGGACCAAAGGAGCCGGTTTGGGTTGGCTTTTCCCTTTTCCTGGCTCGTTGGGAATATGAAGAATGTGACCAAGTGGCATAATTTAACTCTAATAGCGCAGCGCCTCGCAGCGGGCTGGTGGGGAGGTTGGGGGTGGGGGGGGTGGTTTTTTTTTCAATTTAGCAGTAAAATGTGCAGCCGTGGGGAGGGGATGCCGTGCCCCCTGCCTGCGAGGGGAGGGGGCGCTTCCGTAGCTCCCGGAGAACGCGCGAATCGAGCCTTTTTAAAACCTGCACCTGCCAGGCCCACAAGAAATGAATTTGCCTGGTACAGTTTTGGGAGAGAGACTCTGTCCTGTCCCCGTCCAGATGAGTTCTTCTGGACTTATCCCAGGGTGAGAGGGAATAATTCCCTGGAGCTACGCTTGTCTTCATTTTAAAACTTACCTACCCACGGCGAAATGACGATGCTAAAGAGAAACTGAAGCTGTTGAACTGATTTATCCTCGCTGTGCCGTCCCGTTTGCAAGAAAGGATTTATAAATAAGGGCACAGGGATCCTGCCTGAAGTCACCTGTGTTGCTCGCTGCTTTTTCTGCCAACCCATGGGGGGGGAAGGGAACCTGGCAGCCCGGGGGGCTTCTCCATAAGGTCGTCACACT